GTCTTCAGAAAATTGTTAATCACTCATTCATTCAAACCAGGTGTGTCAAATCAGGGAAACATCTAAAAATTCACTGCTTTAAATGTTGACCAACACCTCAAGAGCTTCTCTGAGCTTGATGAGACATTTTCAAAAAATAATTTTGACTCAGTTTTATGGTTTTTAGTATTGCCTCTAGAAGCCATTAATTCTTTGCCCTTTATTTGTAAATAATAATCAGATAACCTGTGTTAAAGCAGTGATTCTCAACCCTGGTCCTCAAGAATTCCTTTCCTGCATGTTTACAGTAGATGTTTCCCTGGTTTGACACACCTGGTTTGAATTGATTTGATTTGTTTATTTAACAGGAAAAGATTATTAAAAATCAAGCCTGACTCAGCATAATTGCAGTATCAGTTGTCCTTTTGTAACAGACAGACAAACAGAATGAATGAGTGGTTTACAATCTTCTGAAGACCTGCTGAATAGCAGGGAAACAAGTAAAACTTATAAGTAAAACTTAAGTAGTACTTAAACAAGTAAACTTAGTACAAGTAAAACTTAAAAGTCTTATTTTATTCTAATGTACTTAAACTTTGGACTGTGTTTTATACGTCTTGCCACAAAATAAATCTTTAGTATGATGTTACAAACAGCTTTCTGTTTGAGAAAAAAAAAAACAATCTGCTTTTTACATTTATGATCATCTCTGTAGTGCCTTAACGACAACAACAGGAAACTGGTAACAATGAGACTTCACACCCCCACCCACCCTGCAAAGTTAGGGCTCTGTTCAGTGATTTAAGATAATGAATCTCTTAAAAATCTACCTCTGACAATAAGATCATTTCAAAACTAAATATGTTAAGGACCTTACATAACAGGATTTGTGTAAATATATATACATTTAATCACATTATATGGGCCCAAAATTAATAAAAATACAATAGTAATAACAAGTTTGTTAACAGATTTCATCAGCGCAAATAAAAACATGTGTAGAAAATATAAAAAAGATGTTGCTCACGAAGTGTRTTTATTTCATTTTTGTTTGTTGGTCTTTACATTGAACATGTTATTCAGATTTTTAAAGAGAAGAAAAGAATGGTTCTGAGATYGCTTTTCTTTAAATAAACATGCACATACTGAGATATTTGAAGCGTTTTGTTCTGATGCCTTGGGGGAGATGTTGAGGAGGGCACTTTTTTTAATATAGGGAGGGTCCAACAAAAACGTTTCAGAACCACTGATAAGAGAAAGAAGAAATGACAATCAAATCTCCCCAAAAGAAGACAGTCAATGCGGGCAGCCAGAGGCTGATCATTTGTCAGTGTCCTCCTGTGTAATGGAGGTGGAAYGAACCAAGACATCACCATCTATTGTTAAAACAGATTTACACAACCWACCTATCCTATTCACATCTTTAGCTACGGCTGAAGTACCTGGTCAGGTGAGTGCTGTCAGGGTCAGCGGTTGGAGCTAAAGGCAGAAGATGTTAAATGTTTATAAAAATACATGACRCTAGTTCAGGTCTGTTTAGTACGGAAGCTGAGAGCGGCCATTTTCCACTCTTAATTATTTTCCATGGTTTTCTCGTAACGACATATGTTGTTCGACATATGTCGTTATCACGAGACAACAATGACCGTTTTGTCGCGATAACAAGTAAATTTCCAGATGGTTTTCCTCTTGTGTATCATTCAGTAACCATGGAGCCAGCCTTGGCTGTCCATCCATCCATCCATCTTTAATCAGGCAAATTCCATTGATATCTCAAGAGTCCAAAAGAAAAAAATTGTGTAGGTCTTCTGGACAGGTTCTTCTCTAATGAAATGTTTTGTCTCTTCTCCAAGAGACTTCTTCAGTCTGAGAGTTTCAGGCAAAATTCAGGCTTTTGAGCCCTGCCTCCGTGTGACTGGTACTCACATCGCATGGCTATCGTTGACACCTAGTTAACACTTATTGTTAACAGGGGGAAGGAGTGATACTGGCAATGGCCGCGCTGTAGGAGGGGGACAACTGAAAACGGAGGCCTCCACCTCAGTTTAATGATGGACGGTCTTTCTTCACAAAAATGGCTTATTTTACTCCTCGCTCAAACCAACGTTCCTCTCTATCAAGAATGAGAACATCCTCATCTCTGAAAGAGTGACCGCTGGCCTGTAAATGAGTGAAAACTGCAGAGTTC